TCAGGAGAGGTGACGCCAGCTGCCCGTTCAGTAGCGAGTTGCGTTCTCCCACCCACACCACACACTGTGCTTTGCTGTTCTGGCTCAACCTCCCCTTCAGATCTAGAACAAAGGATGCTTCTGAACTCTCCGAGCTCTGATGTGACACTGAGTTCTGTGTTTTGCAGAGCGATGCCAAGAAATAAAAATTTAAAAGAGGCTTCTCCAATTGTCAAAATAACCAACAGTTGAGAGGAAGTGAGTACGCTTGCATCTTGGGCCCCTCTGATCCCAGGCATCCTTGAGCAAGCTTCCTCCGGGCTATCACACCAGCGCCCACTTTCCTGATCTCCCCGAGTCACTCAGGCACATTCTTACTTCCAGTATCCTGGGGAGGGAGGAGCCGCCATCTTCATGTGTGATTCAGTACAACAATGGAATTATGTAAAGATTGTATTTTTCCCTGCACAGGGATGGGTCCTCCTCCTCCTCAGCTTCCTACCGTGGCAGTGGTGGAGACCACATGTCAGGACTGCAAGAACTCGGGTCTCAGTGCTGGGTCCAGTTTCCTGCCAGATCTCTGGTGTATACTAGTAGCGATTTCACTTTAGTTAAGTGATAACACCTCAATGCGTCCGTCCACCATGCTAGCTACCCTGGAGATCAATCAGCCACGTGTGCCTAGAAGCCACTGGGCGGGGCCCTCCAGGTACAGTGCTACCCTTGTCCCCATCCTGTAACATTCAAGAGCTTCACAGACGCCCTCTCAGAACTCAGTCGCTCATGTGTCCAGTGCAGGGACGACGCTGTGCCTACCCGAGGTCAGGGGTTAGACTAGACAGTGCCAGCACAAGGCTATCTCCACCTAGAATCGACATCCATAACAACATCACCACCTGTCACCTCATGTAATCATCCCTGTGGCTCACAGCAAGAAGTGGCATTAACCCAATGTTTCTAGAGGAAGAAATCTAGGACCTGGGGCAAAGGAGTTTTCTGAGCCACATAGCCGGTAAATGTGAGAACAGGGGTTTCATTCTCCATACCCCACCCCGTCTCGGGGATACCCCCCTCAGTGATGAGATCCTTGTCACCACAGGTGTGTCATGCCTCCCTCTGGAGTATCACCTCAGCTGTTAGGGACTGAGCACTCCGCTCCCCCAAAATCTCTGTCCCTCTGTCTCTGTTGTCTGTCTGTCTCTTTCTTCCTCCCTCTTTCTCTTTCTGTCCCCACCCCTCTTCTCTGTTTATAGGATAAAGTTACGCAGAGCTGTATCAGCTACTTTTCTCACTGGGGTCACAGAATACTTAGCAGAAACCACGTATGGAGGGAGGGGTTGACTCTGGCTCATGGTTCAGCGGATGCCTGGCTCACAGACGGGGTGATGATGGCATTGTGGGAAGCAGCTCCATGATGGAGGAGAGTGAGGCAGCAGGTCCCATCTGGCTGGCCGTCAGGAAGTGGGGAAAAGTGAAGAGAAGGCCTTTCTTCTGTTCACTTTTCCCTTTGTATTCATGGCAGGGCTGGAGTCCAGGGAACGGTGCTGCCCACATCGGTGTGGCTCTGCCCTACTGAGTTAAACCTCTCTGGATGTTCCCCCACAGTCACACCCAACGGTATGCCTCACTAATGCCCACGGGCCTATTAATCCAACTAAGTTTATCAGAATTAATCAGACTTAACTGTTTAGTCAGAATTAGCTATCACAAAAGTCTTCTTGCAATGGGAAGAGGGTTTGTGTTTGTGGTATATGTATTAGAAATATATATTTCATTAGAAACATTGTTCAAAGCAAGAATAAACCAGAGGAAATGAACACAGCTGGGCAGATTAAGGGCTTATCCTGGATATATTAAAATGGACATTATATTAATAACAACACAGGTAAAGCTAACAGAAGCTGAGCAATGCTCTGGAAGAGATAGTTGACAGGGAGGAGTCCTCTTGGGGGCTGGACATGACGTATGTCTTGACCAGGGTGGCATTTCAGGGAGTTGGTCACTACAGAGGTCACCAAATTACACACTTACACTCAGTGCCATTTATACGAAGTCTATCACAGCCCAATAAAAAAGGAAGAAACTATATAACTGCAATACAAACTCAAGTGCTTCATTTTCAGATAAATACGTCTTTCCGAGTTCGCCATAAAGTCCGCGCAAGCAGACCGGGGTGGTCTGGAAATGTCACGGCTGGATTGTTTGAACACAGCCTGTGAAATGGGCTCCCAAGAGAAGCCGTACTTCGGATGACGTCATCAGGCAGCATCACTGTCCCGTGTGACGTCAGGACCGTTCAGTTACCACAACAGTCTCATTGGGGCAGTCGGAACTGCAGTCCACACCAGTGACCTGTGTGGCCCTCCCCACACCCGGCCTGCTCTAAGGCCGGAAGGCGACACTGAAGGCTCCGTGTGCTCCCTCCACCTTGACCCCACACGTGTGCTGTGGCCGCAGATGCTCACGGCAGAGAACAGAGTCTGGTGTGATACGCAAGTGGAACCCGGTGTTGGCACCTTCTGGGTGTAGCAGAAGAACAGTGATTAGCTTGTCCATGGGCACTCCAGGACAGCTCACCGGACCCAGGTCATGCCTGGTCTCCTGTGAGTCATTTTCAACATCCTTCTGTCCTGGGTTTCCAATACTCCACTTCACCCAGACTCTCCCAGTGGGGTCATAGAACCCCTCCAGGCAGTCTGTTGGGCAGGGGACAGGGCCAGACCGGCTTCTCTGAAGGTCTACTTGCTCACAATGTAGAGAAGGCCCCCCTATGTATGCATACACAGCTCCCCGCTTGGCCTCGGCGAATATTTTGTACCTCTGCCTAGGGCATGGGGCTGGTAACTTCCTTAAACCGTGTCTTCTAGGGCTGACTGAGAAGCAGCTCTGTTCCTCCCCGCTGTGGTAGGGAGCTAACCCTGCCACCCTCTCTGACACATCCTATCTTGACTTCCCACTGGTGAATGAACACAACTGTGGCTGGGTTGCTTTCAAGAGCTCTATCTTGTCCTGCTTAGGTGGCCTGGCCCCTCCCCTTGAGGTGTGCAGCCTTTGCTTCTTTGGCCTGAGGCTTTGGTCCTCGGCCTGAATGTCTGAGGCAGACAGAGGAACCAGAGGGTGAGGCTGTTGTGCAGGAATTACACTAGGCACAATGGCTGACAGTGGCCTCGTGTTCGTTCCCATGACTGCAAACTCCTTGAAGTCAGAGACCACGGAGATCTTAGTCGCTCTCACACCCAGCCCAATGCACAGGTCTTATTAGTGGATAAATAGAGAAAACAGAAAAAGAGTAATAGTGATACTCAATTCATAAAGTCTTTGGGGGAACCAAGGTTGTGTCAGACACTAGGTCTGATCTCATGCTTTTAGAGACTTTTCCTGGGCCCACGGTGAGGGACATCTCAGACATTCACCCGAGTCGGAGGAAGAAAGCTGCAAGCCCAGATCACAACCGCAGCTCTTTTTCATCATCATTCCATGTCTGTGACATTTCTCAGGTGGACCGAGTCTCTTCAGAATGACTGATCAATAGACAACTCAGAAAAAAAAAAACCAACCAACCAACCAAACAAACAAACAAACAAACAAACAAACAGAATTGCCCTAGAATGTATCAAGTCTGTGACAGCCACTCAAGTGAGCAATAGGTCTTAGTGCACTTGCCAGCCTGGAAGTCCCTCAGAAGATCACAGTGACCACAGGAGCCAAGAGCAGCATAGCCCGGATATCTTCAGAGACCTGGGAATTGTGTAAATGATGCACAAGGCTTTGCAGCAGGAGGCGTGTGGGCACATGGGTGTGTGCATGTGTATGTGTGTGTGTGTGTGTGTGTGTGTGTGTGTGTGTGTGTGTGTGTGTGTGATTCATATAAACGCTTCCTCTCCACAGCAATGCCAACACACACACTGTAGTGTAGAGCCCAGCTTGTGGGTCCATTGACAGACACAGCCTGTGCTTGGCTCCCTTTGGAAACTAAAGGACAGAAAACGACCTCGTGGAGAAAGTGAGCAGTGTCGGCATTAAAATGTCAACTCAGTTCAGCAGCAACCAAGCGCTGTCTGCCAGGAGCGCGGCCCCACAGAGCTAGCAGAATGAAGACAGATGCGCACCTGCAGGGGGCAAGCGTGTCTGCAAAGCGTGTTTCACGGCCATCTGCAGAGAGACAGAGAGACGAAAAGAGCATCTCTTCCATCCTCAGCAGGAGGGGTCTGAATCACAAATATCCACGCCGCCCTTTATGGTTAATGCAAAGTAGCCTTTAAACTTTATCCCGTCTTTGACCTGAGCCAGTCAGGGCCCTGGTCTTTCTAGTCAACACTTGTACAGATTACTAGCCAACATCAGGTCCAGGAAGGCCTGACGTGGAGTCAGCAAAGGACTGTGTAGACTCAGAACCGACGAGGTAAAGAGGGACTTGGCTTTACTTTGCACAAGGGGAATAAATTCTACAAATGTTTTGAATAGAAAACTGTGAGATTTCTTTCAACTTAAAAAAACAAAGTCGTAGGAACCAAAATGTAAAAAGACACGAGGTAAGATTTTGCGAACTTTGTAAATTTTGTGAGTTGGTCTAAGAAAGCCCTCCCCGATCAGATAAAATTTATTTTTGGCCTTTATGGGGTACTGCAGTGGTTGCCTCCAGGGGCTCTGGGTGCCACAGAAGATGAAGGCCTCTGCAGCACAGCTCCCCTTTCAGAGGGGACCCTGAGAAATGTAGCCCCAGGGTACTCTAGTGCAGTTGAGACCACGGCTGTAGTGTGGGAGGTACCGCTGCTCACACATGGGGAAGAGGGGAGGCCCCCCCCCCCGCCCCATTTACCAATGCACTTCGGATTATCAGCAGATGGGAAATGGCAATGTTGGAAATACGTATGCCTTTTCCTTACATCTTCCCCTCTTAGCCTCTAAGTCCCAAGGCTTCTGACCACAGTGTGTCAGGAGATTGTTTACACATGCAATGACTTCAAAAGCTAACTTAAACAACAACCCCTTGAAAGTAGTCGCTGGAACTTCCGAATTACCTGTGCATGCTTGGAGACCCAGTGACGGAGGACATTCAGGACTCGATTGGTGGCTGTTCTCCGTATGATAAACTCCTTGTCACATGTTCTCTCAGTATTGTTAAACCCTTTGGAGGAAAAAAAAAAACATACACACATTGTAGTTAGGGCCAGTCCCCAGGGACGAGAAAAGGTCACTTATTTTAGGACTCCTGTTAATGAGACTCACAAATGCTGCATTGTGGCAGGGAGGGAAAGTGGCTTTAGATGTGTGGATTCTGCTTGCTTATTACATCTCCAGCCAGCCCCTCCCCCCTCCCCCGTAGTTACAGGTGCAATTACATGAATAAAGCACACGTATTTATTAAAGGCCACCGAGGAGAGCTAGCGACCCACTAATGACATTTCTATTTATGACTCTCATGAGCTACAATACAAAGCCAAGAGGGAGCTTTAACAAAAGAAGTAGGGCCAGTGTGGATCTATTTATACCTGTGCCACACCGTGGTTGTGTAATCAATAGTACCAGATATCTGAGCTCACAGGGCAGGTAAAATACTCTATTGTCTGTCTGCAGACAAACAGGATAGCCAGTGTTTGAAAAGAAGTATTTGAAAGCTGCTAAAAGTATGGATTCCAAATGTTTTCACCTCGGAAAACTTGTAAGAACATGAAATGAAAGATTTGTTGATAAGTTTGAATCACTACACAATATAAACATACCGATGCATCTCTTTTATACTCCATGAGTAGATAATAGTTATGTAGGTAGTTGGTGCTTGCCAATTGCAAATAAAATAATTCAAAACAAAAAGACTTCCAGAAGTGAAGCTTCTGTCCTTGAGTTCTGGTAAATTATATCGGTCTCTGATGTCTCTTACGTGTCTGTCTCATGGAGTTGTTGTGGAATTACCCTCCTGAACAAGTAAGTGTTAAACATTGATCACAGTACCCACACAATGGCAAGAACTCACATGTCAGCCATTACTACAATTCGACATTTATCTGGTGTCTTTTGGTGGGTGAGCAGGTGCAGTGATCTTGGGCTTTATACATATGAGGCAGCTTTCCCACCACCAAGCTCTAGTCCAGTGTCCAGAGTTGCTCTGTGCAGCCGCGTCACTGCCTTAGTTACCTTTTCATTGTCAATAAAACATAGTACTTCACACTGACTCCCTTTTAAAAAGATATTCTGTGATCCAATAATAATTAAGCAATCTATTTCCTTTAAAAATGAATATATCTTGGGCTGGCTGCAGCTCCATGGTGAACCACTTGCCTAATATGTTTAATACCCAGGGGCCAAGTCTCAGAACACAACAATAACTCCTCTTCAAAGAGCTGTCTACACTTGCTGGTTCCCTTTCCTCATCTCTTGCTGTCTCCACGTCTCACTCCAAGCTTCTCACTTCCTCTCACCTACCAGCAAGACAGACTCTGCGAGGTCACCAACAGCTTTCACGTCTATATATCCAAGGGGTGCTCTGCAATCACTTTCTCAGAAATGTATCTTTTAAGTGACTCCCCATAGAGTTCCTGATCTCATCTCTGAGTTCCAGATCCAGGTTTCCAACTCCTCTTTACACTTTCCTCTTACAAGGAAAGCACACTACAAGCACAATATGCTCAAAAAGAAAGAGGCCTTTCCCCCAGACTCTGCCCTGGCTGGTGTCATCATCTCAGGAAAGAAACACCACCATTCATCATGGTGGGTAAGCCTAGAACTTGTCTGTCTCTCCCTAGATGATGCCAGCAACCCTCCTTGGTCTAGTTCTCTTTTGTCTTCTTAAATCTGGAATCCCAGGAGCCAAAAAGACCTTTTCAAAGGACAAATTGGATGTGTCAAATGAGTGTTCAAGGCCTTTCAAGAGTCCTCACAATAAAATCAGAAGTCCTCTGTTAGTATAAGTCTACCGTCGAACACACAGATTGCAAGCCCAGTGCCACTTTGAGATCTTTGGCAGCAATTAACCATGCAGCTCACACACGATTGAGCCAGTATGATAATGAGTATTCAGAGACGGGTAATACCTGGGGGCACTCACCAACCTAAGACAGAACACCTGTGTGGCCTGGGCAGGCGTCTTCATGATGGGTAAGGCGACCTGCTGACGTCCCACGCAATCCAAGTCAGAGCTCATTTTTTAATAAAAGGGGGACCTGCAGGGCCCTGGCCCCCGTTTTGGGTAACTGTTGCCTTGTTTGTGGACCTTGACCTTGATATCCTCCCTATGCTAATTCCCTGCCAGGTTCCACCCTCCTGAATGCTTAAGGGAAGTTCCTTGTCTGTGTATCCTGAATAATGGGCGTTAACAGCTTAGATGCAAGATTGTAAAACATCAGTAGCGAACTTCTGCCCTCCAGGGTCCTCCCATTGTGCTGTAA